CCCCCCCATGGCTTTCGGGGTCCCCCGCTCCTCGGGGGGACCCGTGACCACGGCATGGGAGCTCACCGTAGAGCAGATGAAGAATGTCCGTTCTTCATCTGCTCTGTGTGATCCCTGAGACCATGGCGCTGTAATCAGTGCAACTACAATGCAACTACACAGAACCCTACCCTCCCTAGGTGCGTCTTATGATCAGGTGCGCCCTATGGAATACGGTAATTTGCACATTGGGCAATTTCAGTGCATAAGTCCGCACCCAACCAGAGGAAGCATCATAGGCAGCTTTGGACTTGGGGAATGGAGTGATGCAAGCGACTGGTAAATTTTACCATGAAAGTCAGATCCAAATTTTTAACACCAGGTTTAAACAGCTGAAATGTTGCTTAAACACTTGGACCTCATATAATAAACAGCACTGCAATCAGATCAACTACAGTTAGGTCCGGAAATAATTGGACACTGACACAAATTTTGTTATTTTTGGCTGTTTACTAAAATAAATTCAAGTTACAGTTAAGTAAAGAATCTGTGCTGAAAGTGCAGTGTCTCAGCTTCAAGTTGAAGATATACATATCAATAATGGAGGAAGGGTTTAGGAATTACAGCTCTTTAATATGTAGCCCCCTCTTTTTCAAGGGACCAAAAGTCCCTTGATTCAAAAGCTTTATCATGGAGCTATCAGGTGTGGGCTATTCCTTTGTTATTTCATCATCAATTAAACAGGTAAAAGTTCTGGAGTTGATTTCAGGCGTGGCATTTGCACATGGAAGCTGTTGCTGTGAACCCCCAAAATGCATTCAAAGGAGCTCCCAATGCAAGTAAAAGAGGCCATCCTTGAGAGAGAGCAGGACGATTAGGAGTGGCCAAATCAATATTTTGGAACACACAGGTGAGCTCTTCAACACATAAAGGCCTGGACGTCCACGGAAAACAACAGTGGTGGATGATCTTAGGATCCTTTCCATGGGAAAGATAAACCCCTTCACAACATCTAGCCAAGTTAAGAACAATCTCTGGGAAGTAAGCATATCATTTCCCAAGTCTACCATAAGGCCCCGTTCCCACTGCGCGATATGCAAATCGCGCGTTTGTTGCGCGATTTGCATATTTGCGCGACATCGCGAGATTTGCCGCGCGATGTCGCGTTCAAGCTTGCATTGAGCAAGCTTGAATCGCGGCTAAATCCGCTCCAAAAAGGGTCCTGCTGTAGCGACACACGACCCGCGACAGCAGGACCCTTTGCCCCATTGGATTGCATTGGAGCGCGATATCGCGCGGTAATTTGCCGCGATATCGCGGGAATTACCGCGCGATAAATCGCTCAATGTGAACGGGGTCTAAAGAGAAGACTCCATGAGAGCAAAATACAGAGGGTTCACCACAAGGTGCAAACCATTCATAATTCTAGAATAGAAAGGCCAGATTAGACTTTGCCAAAAAAATATCTAAAACGGCCAGCCCAGTTCTGGAACAGCATTCTTTGGACAAGATGAAAAAAGAAGATCAACCTATACCAGAATGATGGGAAGAAAAAAGTATGGAGAAGGCTTGGCATGGCTCATGATCCTAACAATCAGTGTGATTCTAAGCTGCTGCCTTACAATTTGGAGTGTTGTTGTCCTCTGTCAGATGGGTTGGGCTGCATTCAAGGTCTGCAGGAAGTATGTGAAGACCTGATAGGCAGCCCAAAGGTGAACTGAAGTATCATGCACGGTAGGCTGTGGATGGTGCTGTACATATATACCTTTTTTCCAAAGGTCTTCTGAGAGGTCTGGTGATGTCACAGGTCCTTCCTTTTCTCTCCTGGCAGTAGCGAGTGGTCCTTAAGGTGCCCATACACCTTACAATTATCGGACGATTTTCGTATGCGATCGACTTTTCGTCCGCTAATCGTATGTGTGCATTGCAGTGTCCGACCGACATTACTGTACAATCGTACAACTTTTGACGGTCAAGCATGTTTGAAAACTTTGCTAGATCGTACGATTTTCATAAGGTTGCTGGCGTTTCCGTCCATCAAAAGTCGTACGATCTACACTGCGCTTGCGCTAACGCAAATACGGCAAATCAATTACTGCATTTCGTCCAGGTGCTTTTCGTTAATTACGGCTAAATTAATCTTGCGATCATCGGGGCAGGATGGTGCTGCCATACGAAAATCGTACGACTATTCGATCATTGGACAAAAAGTTTTGTCCGATAATCGTAAGGTGTATGGGCACCTTTAGTCCTGCATTGAATTGCGTATTAATAATGATGTGTGAGTGTCGTTTGGTGCAGTAGTATCCTGAGACCAAGATGGTGTGATGATGTTCCGCCATGCTCAGAGAAAGTGGGTGGAATGGCGCTGACCATCATTAAACCTAATCTGGGACAAATGAAGTGGTTGAAATTAATTACTGCAGGGGACAGCTCTGGATTCAAGGATTGCAGCAAAAGCTAGTTTTTATTTATAATAATGCTGGGCTCTTGATTTTTACATAAAAACAAAGGTTCTACTTTAAAGCCCCATTCTGGACACCAGAAACAATTACCCCTGCAGTGGGGGGTGGGGGTGTTTGGTGCAAACCAGAAGGGTATTTAAAAAAACAACAACCCAGAGTTTAGCATTAAGGCTTTGTTGGTACATATGTAGAAGTAATAAAATTAAAGAAAATGATGTAAAATACCTGAACAGAAATTGACTTGACGTTTCTCATAATATCTATATTTAAATTGTTTCTATTCTCTGCAAGTCTTGGTAAATGAATGCATAGCTGACTGCTCCTGATCTTGTTTCTAAACTTACTATTCATTTTCAGATGGATCTGGGTGAATCACATCCTCCTAAAGGAATATTTAAATGTCACCTGTGCGGACTATCGGTTCCATATACTTACTTTGGCCAAAGGCCGCCAAGTGCGCACTCTGTAATGTAAGTAACACTAAGAACTGTTTTTGTTGCTCATAGCATCCTGTAAAATAACTCTTCTTGAACCAAGATGCTAGTTATAGTCGTCTTATTTAGAAAATTAGAAATCATTTTATTGGTAAAATAATTTGACAGTGATATTGTTTTTTGTATTGTTTTTGCGTGTTTTCTGATAGACTTTTGGAAGAATGTTATGTTATGATGGATCCCTTCACTCCCGAGAAAGACAAATTTCTGATTCTGGGTTCCACCTGTAGCTTATGTAAGCAAGTGGTCTGCGTTGACACGGTAAGAACTCCATTTTATTTGCATTATAGTAGGTCAGGTCATAAAGTAAATGAATGATGGCATTTGTTTGATCATTTGGGTTTTAGTTTAATGTGTAATATTTGCAGTAATGTGTAATTCATTTTTTCAAAGTTTAACTAAACTCTTCCAACAAAATGTATGAATCCTTGGGGCATTATATAAATAAAAGCATCTGCTATTTGTTTTTTAATTAAATATATCCAAATACATGTATTTGCTGGGAAATTCACAGCGCTATGTATGGACCTGCGTTTTTCTTGTTCATGCTCTAGTGGAGTATGTGGCAGCATGTTCCAAAGCAATGACATAAGCAAGAAGCATTTCACTGGAACGTTGATGATGGGGGAAAGAGCATGGTTCAGGAAAGGTAAAATATAAGCACAATAAATGTCCGCCTTAGCCCCTTTCACACTGTCCGATCAGGAGGGGATCCGTGCCACAGAGCGGTATAGATCGGATGTCAACGCTGCGACATCCACATCTGTCCAGTTTTTTCCTCCATGTTGTAATGGAGAAAAAAAACTGAAATGACTGGGCTCCATGACGGTCTATGGGGAATCGGATGTAAATGGACATGTGTATGTTTACATCAAATTACCCCCAATCCAGCACCATCGGGTCCGGCGAAATGTAACACTGTTCTGTTTGTGTTTCCAGAGCCGAGAGCAAGCAGATGTTAAAGGAGAACTATGGGGTCAGTGTTTTTCCCCATAGTTCTCCTTAGGGTAACGGGAGGACACAAACTAGCGTCCTCCCGTTACCCTAAGCTCAGTATACCGCGAGCTACAGCTCGCGGTATACTGAGACACCGCAGCCGGAGCGGATCCCGACGTCGAGATCCGCCCAGCTGCGTGAGTGACAGCTGGCTCTGCCTATCTAGAGGCAGAGGCAGCTGTACCCGCCCCCTCCCCCGTCCGTTCCGCCAGTCAGCGCTGGCAGATCGGAGCGGGGAGAGGGGAATCCAGCCCCTCCCCGTGGTGACAGGATCGAGAGGTGAGCGAACCCGGTATGTGTTCGCTCACCTCCCGATCTACTAAGCCGACCTGTGACAGTCTCATTGTCACAGGTCGGCTAGAACTACGAGGTGAGTGGAAATCACTCATCTCATAGTTCTCTTTTAATAGACACCCGTCCATTTAGATCCGGCTGCACCCAGACCTACACTGGGCATCCGATCGTTTCCACCTGAAAAACTGATAGGCCGACCTGATTGGACTGCCCATCTGAAAGGGGCCTTAAAATCTAGATCTTGACTTTGGGTGGATGGGGGGTCTGGAATGTTCTGGCAAGAGCGGCTGTGTTGGTCTATGGCTGTGGATATCTCCTTTATTGAGAGCTCTTCTTGGGGTTTCAATATGTTTTTACATTTGGCATTTTGTACAAACATTGTTTTCCAAAAAACACGTACTATTGTTTTGTTGTGGTAGCACTCCCTTATATAAGCTGCTTTCTCAAAGTTAGCTGTTTGCTGCTGTAATCTTTATGTAGGGCACACTGTATTACTAGACCACACAGGGACTGTTTAAGCCGCAAAGAGGAGGCAACTCCAAATTAATGTACATGGTTTTGGTAATCTGAAGGGAATTTATCAAAACTGGAGCAGACAGAATCTGGAACAGCTGTGCATGGCAATCAAACAGCTTCTCTCTTTCATTTTCAAATCTTAGCTGAACAAATTAGAGAGAAGCTGATTGGTTGCCCTGGGCAACTGCTCCAGATTTTGTCTGCCCCAGTTTTGATAAAATCCCCTCTCTGTAGTTCCCCTCTAAATGTAACTGTGTTTGTCCCTTTCTGTAGGAATGTAGCATCTTCTACTCCAAACGATTCTGCCTGCCTTGTGTTACAAAGAACAAAAGTGAATTTCCTCTTGAAATCCGGCAAGATTTGGAGAAGAGAAAGACCCAGGCGAAGTGACAAGGCCGAGCTGCTTAGTTGTGATTAGTGTTGACCTGACAAAAGTCACATCAATAAATATGTTAGTAAAATCTCAGGTTATATTAGTTTCAAAATGACACCTTAAGGCAAATGCAAAACCTAACTGGGTTACATATAATTTGCTAAAGCTCTGTATAATATAAACAGTTGCCATGTTTATCTTCATTGCCACTGGTACTGATCCCCTTCAGTCACTTCCAGTTCACATTCATTTGTTCCAGCAGCAGCTGTATTACGGTCAGCAGGAGGAACAAATAATGGCTGTGGGTGGACACAGTAGAGCCTGGAAGTGTCAGTTTCTAAAGAGATTTCACCCCAGGGTATGTCAGCAGAGTGGTCTGCAGCACAGGCTGTAGGAGAAGTAGGCATTCCACTGCTTCCTTACAGGTATGCCATTTTAAAGCAACTGTTATGTAAAACCTTACAATGAACAATTCTTTATGTGCCCCCTTTTGTTCTGTTCAATATTCTATCTGCTCAGTGACTGCAAAAAAACATATAAAGAAACAAATCAGCGCTCTTGGAACCAGCTAAACACTATTAGCCCCAAAGCTGTTATGAGAAAGGAAGAAACCTAGTGTATAAAAAGAAAATAACACAGCGCTAATAAATAACAATTCAATAACCAGTGTTAAAGGAGAACTATGAGGTGAGTGCTTTTCACTCACCTCATAGTTCTAGCCGACCTGTAACAATGAGACTGTCCCAGGTCGGCTCAGTAGATCAGGAGGTGAGCGAACACATACCGGCTTTCGCTCACCTCTCGATCCTGTCACAGCTCTCTGCCATGACAGGGGAGGGGCTGGATCCCCCCCTCCCCGCTCCGATTCGCCAGCGCTGACTGGCGGAACGGACGGGGAGGGGGTGGGTACAGTTGGCTCTGCCTCTAGATAGGCAGAGCCTGCTGTCAGTCACGCAGCTGGGCGGATCCAGACATAATTGTCGGGATCTGCTTCAGCTGCGGCGTCTTAGTATACCGCGAGCAGCAGCTCGCGGTATTCTGCGGCGTCTCAGTATACCGCAAGCTACAGCTCGCGTTATACTGAGCCTAGGGTGACGGGGGGATGCTAGTTTGTGTCCTCCCGTTACCCTGAGGAGAACTATGGGGAAAATCCTTAACCCCATAGTTCTACTTTAAATGTGGAAAAATAATTCCTCATGAAGTAGTATATGAAAATGAATAAATATGATTAAATGAACAAATGTGAACAGGAAAATAGTATTAAATAAATAATCAAATAGAATGGACGTGATCAACATTGAATTCTAAAGAAGAAATTATTCAATCCGTTCAATACAAACACAGTGTAGCAATAAATGTTCAGTGTCAAATGAAAAGTACTTTCTAAATCAGTCCCGATAAAGATAGTAGCAAATGTCAGTGAGAAAAAGCATTTGGATAAATTCAGCGATGAACACTTTGAATAGCAGAACGAGGTTTGGTTTCTGGCGGTTAGAACGAGGCTTGGTTTGTGCTCTCAGACTGAGGCTTGGCTGCTGTGGAGAACAGTCTGTGAAGTGTAGCTATGTTGTCCTAGATTGTTCACTTCTCCGGCCTTCTCCAAACCCTTCACCCTTTTGTGAATAACCCTGTTGGAGTCAGTTTGTGGTCAGTTTGAGAAAGCAGTGAATGTGACTTTCACCAAACACTGGTGATAAATCATTCACTGCCATTTAAAAACACACGACCCTGAAAAATTTACCTGCAGAGGATGTTTGCTGAATGTCATATTTTCAGCTGTATAACTTTTCCCCTTTGTGTACAGAGCGTCAACAGAAAATGTATATACTTGCCAAGAACACACAGTGCATGGTTTCTGAGTGAGGATTGACAAAATGAATCATGTATTATCATGTGCAAGTAATATACTGACTGGTAGGTTCTCCCGAAATGGGTTGCTTGGTTTTCAGCGGACCCTTATGGTAAATGATGGCCCTAACTCCCCCTTTCTAGCATGGTGTTACCTATGCCATGTGGGCACTCCAAATATACATAGAATTCAGTATGAGCTGTATATGTTGACTATAGGTACAAAGGCAAGCACAGAATGGAAGGATGGCAGGGATACTGAATGTAAGGGGATATCAGTTAATAGATCTCCCAACTCCGGAAGGCTGTCTCTCCTCTCTCTCCTGGCTGTTTTTCCTCGTTCTCTCTCTCCTGGCTGTCATTCCTCGTTTTATCTCCTGGCTGTCTCACTTCTCTCTCTATTGACTGTCTCTCTTTGCTCTCTCCCCTGGCTGTCTCTCCTCTCTCTCTTTCCTGGCTGTCTCTCTTTGCTCTTTCTCCTGGCTGTCTCTCTTTGCTCTCTCTCCTGGCTGTCTCTCTTCGCTCTCTTGGCTGTCTCTCCCCGCTCTCTCTCCTGGCTCACCTTGCTGTATTTTGCAAACAGTGCAGGGCAACAGGCTGTGTAAACGAATATTCTTTGATGTACCACCAGTATCCAGCAGAAAGGTGTCAGGGAGCTCGGCTCAGCAGACTCAGGCTAATACGATTTGTTGAAAAGAAACAGTTTTAATTTGTTACAATGACACATCAATGACATCATAGATACATTGTTTCTTCTTGTTTTGCATTATATCTTAGAATCCACATAAAAAATAAAAGCAGCAATTCAATAATGTGTTAGTTTTAACAATAAACGTCTGAAATAGTAATCATATTGTCAATGAAAATAAAGGAAACAGAGCGGTTATCCTGCGGAAGACGGAAAAGAATTCCCTTTTATACATACAAATGATAATGTCATAATGCCATAGAGATGGAAGGATTATGGAGTAGCTCCAACCTGCATAACATTGTCACCGTGTTATATTCATGTATTCAGGCTTCAAATCTCCTCGCTTTAAACAGAACTAACTATGAATGGGCTTTTGCAAGAATCTGGACATTCAGTCTCAAAGCTGAACACTGGGTACAAAAAAATTGCTTTAAATATATTCCTCAATAGCCTAAAAGTATATAAATTCACTTAGTGTACAGCAGACGCCTTTTCACACCCAGATTTTACCATGACCTGACATTACTACTGTGCAGAGAACAGATCTGTAGATGGGAGCCAACAGGTTCACCCACTTAGGCCCCATTCACAGCTAAGCGCATTGTCGCACATCAAGTCAGCGCAACAAAACGCTCGACCCCCGGAATCCTATTCAGTTCTATGGTCCCTGTTCACACCTGGGCATTTTGTCGCAAGTAGAAATACGCCTGTCGCACGAAATACTACATGAGCTACTTTGAGGCAGATTCAGTGCGTTTTCTCCCCATAGAAAACGCTTGAAAAACATTTGTTGCGATTATTTTTGAGTAGATTCCACAATCTGCTCAACATGCCACAACCTGCTCGTAAAAACGCACCAAAAAACGCGTGTAATAAGTGTCGCTTAGGTGTGAATGCAGAGGAGGGGGCATGTACAAGACCAGTCACTGTGTACAAGGAGAGAGAAGAGCAGTGACCGGTCTTTATTACAGGAAACTCCTGCATAGAGGCAGAGGCTCGTTCAGTTGCTCAGCCGCAGCTAGTGCTGAGTTAGCAAACCGCCGCTGAACGCTGTGCTGCAAGTCAGCACTGCTAACTTAGCACTCACAGCGGAAGTGAATTTGGCTGCAGAGCACTGAGTGTGACATGCATATAAGGCGAAAGTGGGGACAGAGCACCTGCGGCCCTTGTAACTGTGGGCACACCTGGCAGCGCTGGAGAAAGGTGCTTGAACCCGATGGAGCAAATCAAAGTTCAGTGTGGAAACCTACAATTTCATGTTTTGGTGGACGAGTGTAAATGAAAAACTGTGTCTGAATGACGAGTTTCATCCTGTAAAACAATAGAAATTGCACTAATGGCGAAGTTTAACAATGAATCCTCCGCCATTTTGCTTAGCACTGTACAGCCGAAGTGTTCAGTGAAGCTGCTGCACAAACTGATATGCTGCAGAACAGCTTGGCTAACGAATTGAATGCGCCTCAGAAATTATGGCCTGGTTCACATTGAGCGTATTGTAGCAGCTGATTCAGCGCGACAAAAAGCTTCAGCGCGACAAAAAGCTTCCCCCAAAAAGTCCCATTTATTCTTATGGCCCCTGTTCACACCTGAGCGTTTTGTCGCAATAAGCAAAACGCCTGTCAGTGAAAAAAGTACATGAGCTTCTTTCTGGCAGATTACAGCTTGTTTTGTCCCCATAGACTCAATAGGAAACACTTGGAAACGAGAGTTGCAAATGGTTTTGTGTGTTTTTACGCACGTTTTTTCCATTTACATCAACTTGTCACAATCTGCTCATAAAAAGCGCAAACTTAATGTACGTGCGCAAAAATAAGCGTGTTTCTACCTGAGAAAACGTTGTTGCCTAGTTGTGAATCAGGCCTAATGCTGGATTACTCCACAGATCTTGTTCAAGTAAGAATACCTATGCCTCTTGTATGTAGACAATGTTTGTATCGCCCAGATTTCAGCTTTAAGGCTGGGTTCACACCTAGGCGTATTACGCATGCACGTCTGTCGCGCGACCGTCACGCGGTTTTTTTACCGCGATTCGCGGTAAAAAAATTGCGCGACCGTCGCGCGATTCCGAAGGCTACTTGGCTGTATCCCAATGGAAAACGCCCTCCAAAACGGCCCAAAGAAGTACATGTACTTGTTTGGGCGTCAGCCGTTTTGTAGGGCGTTCAGACGGGCGGAAATACGGAAAGGTGTGAACCATACCCATAGAAAACAATGGGATTTTCATGGTTGTACGTTTTGTAGAGCGTTCATAGAGCGTTGAACGCCCGACAAAACGGAAAGGTGTGAACGGGGCCTTAGTGTGTATTACTGTGCAGTATTTTAAAATATTGACATTTCTCCCCTTATTTAGCTATACTTAGCGCCCGTGTGGATCCACTTTGAACTCATGTTGAGGATATCAGTTTGAGAGGCTTCTGACCTCATTTAGAATTCATTGCCAGGTGCATCTGACCTGTTGTTAACTTCCTTCGGATCTACTTCAAATGGGTCATACCTATAGACTTGTATGGGAATGCAAAACCCACATGAACTGAGCAACAGTCCATCACCTCAGACCCTTACTCTGTAAGTCTGACATGTCAGTTTGTGCAAGGGGCTCAGAAATCTCCTGGGGTCGGTCAGTTGGTGCTCTGTCAGCTGTATAAGCACACATTTCTTTACCTAGCTTCTGAGTGGGCAAAGCCTGGCAGTTGGCATGGCAGTAAGGGTCCAGCATCGGTGGCCCCTGGCTTTAGAAATGCATCATTTTCTACATTCTACTTCTGTTTCATTGTACTGGTTTGGGACCGGGTTTCAGATTCTTGCATAAGCCCATAAGGTATTCTTCACAAACTTTAGCAATTTTTTTTATATTGTAACAACACATGGCAACACATCTGTTTTCTGAATAGTTTCTTTGCCTGCCTTGTTATAGTGCAACTGAAGCCAAAACTTTTGTCTTAGTTTTGGGAAAAAACGGAGGGGGATTATAACACCTGTCAGGTTTTTTCATGTCCTGTCTGTGTCCCCGTTAAGGAGATTCACTCTATCTATTTGTCCTGATGACCATAATCATTGAAAGTGAAAGAACATTTTTAGTTGTCATCAGAACAGAAATAGATGAGAAATTTTCCTATGTGATCACCAGTTCTGGCAACCCCATTGACCGCCAGAGATTTCCTCTCACTAGTTGTGACTATCAGACAGGAAGTGAAGAGAAATCTCCCCAATGAGACACAGATGGCAAGTAAAAAACAAAAAAAAAGCTGATGAGGATTATAAATCTAACTTACTCTAGAACTAAAAACAAGGCTTCAGCTTTACTTTAAATGATTGGGCTCATTGAAAAAGCACCATACTGCTACTGTAAAGCACATTTTAATGCACAGTGATGTGCTTTATAAATGTGTTCTGCGCTCCAGAACTAAATGGAAGTTCTAAATATAGAACATAGCTTTTTCGGCTGCATTAACCAAAGAGAACTCATTGGGGCTTCATTAGCTACACACCATGATCCAAATTTTATGAATTTTATGAATGGGATGGGCAGCGATGTGAGTAGCAATGCGAAGTGGAACAGGGCAGATAGTGACATCCACTCTCCGCTATAAAGCCCCTATGTCTTTAAAGCCTTTTAAAACCACGTTTGCCCTAAATGTGCTGGAAGGCATCTATCGGTCCTGGTCTACAGTTCATATAGCTTCAGCACAGTCCTGTCTCTGAGAACATTCCATTGCCAGTTGTAGACTGCTATACACAGCATGGCTACCAGCACAATTTGAAATGATCCCACATGGCAAAAGCTCTGGAGGCATAACACAACACAGGTTAAATAAATATTATTTCAAGGTGACTTCACAAAACAAAACAGTGGAGGATGGTGGTGTTGCATTTTAAGAAAGGATACTGCCTTCTGAAGCCCTAAACTACTACCAGCATTCTACATCAAAAAGAAACCTATTGAGAATCCACCTAGCTGTATAAGAGAGAATGTTCAATGTGTGTCTATAGCAGCCTTTCCCAACCAGGGTTCTGTGGAAGCCTAGGGTTTCTCCAGAGGTTGCCTGGTGAGTCTATAACAGCCTTTCCCAACCAGGGTTCTGTAGAAGCCTAGGGTTTCTCCAGAGGTTGCCTGGTGAGTCTATAACAGCCTTTCCCAACCAGGGTTCTGTAGAAGCCTAGGGTTTCTCCAGAGGTTGCCTGGTGAGTCTATAACAGCCTTTCTTAACCAGGGTTCTGTGGAAGCCTGGGATTCCTCTGGAGGTTGTCTGGTGAGTCTATAACAGCCTTTCTTAACCAGGGTTCTGTGGAAGCCTGGGATTCCTCTGGAGGTTGTCTGGTGAGTCTATAACAGCCTTTCTTAACCAGGGTTCTGTGGAAGCCTGGGATTCCTCCAGAGGTTGCTTGGGGTTCCTTGGCCAAATAGAAATTTCTGCATCTCAGATAAGTAACCAGTGACTACAATTATCTTTTTACCTATCTGTAAGGTGGGCATTCTTCCCATTGAGCAATAAGGGGCATTTTCCCAAAGACCACCAACATAATGGGGCCCTTCTTTACTGACCAGGCACATCACTGACCACCAATATGAGGGAACAATACAGTTTTTTCACTGTTTCCTTTCTGGCTATTATTACTATCATCATTATTATGTCATTTATAATTTTATTACTATTGAAAATGAATTATTAACAGTGGTTTCTTGAGACCTGAACAGAAAATTATTGTAAGAGTTCTTCCTTTGGTTGAGAAGGGCTGGTCTAGAACCCAACCCACCTGTATCCCAGTTCCACGTGTGTACTGTTCTAAAGGCTCATTACAAATCAGTGATCCCAAGAACACTGAATATAGCTCAGGGGTGGACAAATTATTATGAAATTCAGGAGCCAGCAGGATTTTTAGGAGCCAGCTCTATTGGCAACAACTAGGGAAAACCTCAAAAATGTAAGCGCCAGCTGCAATTTTTCAGGAGCATTGGCTACCCAGCCCCAAGGATCTGTCCAGCTGGATTAATGTTTAGGGATGTTGGGCTCATGGACAAATGTTTCCATATGCTTATTAGGCCACTAAGTTTATTGCTGCGCAAGCCATAAACGTTCTTATATCTACAAACTGGAGAAGCATGAGGAGCTTGCCCCTAGTGGCCAAACTTTTATTCTCTGCAAAAATAATGGTGTCCAATTGGTTCTCCTGGTGCGTGTCCCCAGTTTTTGTCAATTTGTAATTTAGCTATATGAAGATAGCGGGTACTATAACTAGCTGTGTGAACTCTCTAAAGGTTATGGTGTTGCTGATCTTGTAGAATGGCACGGGTGCTGAAAGCTGAGGGATCTTGCAACCTGCAACTGTACTGATTAATTTTTGTTAAGAAGGTGCTTGCCAAACCTATCTGTAAGGATATGAAAAACAAAGACGAAAAAAAAATTCAAAAAAATTATCCCTGAGAAAAACATTCAACAACTAAAAACACAAAGCACTGCGTTCTCTTAAAAGAGGTTCTAGATTTCAGGACAGAATTTGTTACATTCCTTATTTGGATACAATAGATCGGAAAATATTCTGAAAATAGATCTTTCTCCTTTTTGTTAACCAGATAATGGGGGGAATTTATCAAGCAATTCAGCCGCACAATTACATGCAAGTCAGACAGTTTTTGTTCGAGCATTTGCAGCCCCTGTGCCTGGAATCCTGAGCAGCCAACTAAAACAGATTTACACAGGTCTGCGACAATTTGCGCAAGTCCATGGGACGATAATGCACAGACAAGGACAGCCCAGCAGTAGATTTGTATCGGCCGTGCTGCAGACAGGGTGGACCCGCGCAGGGGTGGGGGTCACACATCTGATTGTATTAAAAGGGCTAGAGAGATTTTTTGCACAAATGTGTATTTGAACTTTGAAGCAAAGCTAAACGACAACACTAAAATGTCAATATCGCTGCTTACCAGTCCTTAGATGTGGCGGCTGCATTGACTTGCTGTGTGGCGAGATTGATAAATGCCCCCGAATGAGTTTCTGACTATTAAAAGGATAGAAATGTACATTTCATTCTATCTCTAGTACATTTTAGCGTCACCTTTCTAATTCTTTTCCAACTCATCTTCTGGAAAACAGTGGTATCTTTTTTTCAAATATACATGGGCATGTCCACTTGTGGTAAAGATCTCCTTCTGCACTACTTGCTATCATGTGCTGTAGGCTTTGTAGTGTGCTGGCTTTACAAAATAACTTTTATTTTTTATATCAAAGTACCTTTACAAATATATTCCATAAACATTTCTAAGTATTGAACATAAAATTCTGTAATAAAATTCTCTATTTCTTAGTTTAAGGAGCCTGAAAGCCCAACACTAGGCTCATGGTGGAGATGCATCATATAGTGCCACAACCGAATCTTCGTGCTCACCGTTAAAAGTTTACTTTTTTTTGTAGAAGCAGCCATCTTTACCCGTGTACCAAAGTTTCATGCATTTGCGCTTAGTACATAAGAACATCCCACTTGTATCTTCAATCCCCAGACTCCAAGATGTTCTGTTAGAACACATATAGCGCAATTTACGTCCGATGTGCTGAAACGTTTCCATTTACCTTTACTAAACAAAGGACGGCAGTGAGCAATAGTCGTTTTTGAGAAGTACATCTGTTTGTGTGATACTCCGAACCTGGAACCAACCAAGTCTGCTCCTAAAGACATAAAGCCTCCTGATTTTGGCCATCTATAAAAAGGTATGTTCTGAAAATATGCCAGCGAGTGTAAAAGCTGTGGAGTACCATGATACCAAGGACAGCCCTCTCCTTGGATTAACCTGAGTTAAACCTGATTTAATATTGCTAGATGATCATCAAAATCTAGACGGCTTGTAAAATTGGAGACATCCTGTGACATAATTAAAATATAGCCTTTTTCTTTGATTTCTAGGAAGATTGATATGACTATGAGGAACTGTTTTTCCCCACTTGTTAAAACAACTGGAGAACTTCTGTCTTTTAGCACTGGCAAAGTAGAAGGCACGGATGCGGTTTAACCAAACCCGCCAGAGGAAGAAAATGGTTTTGTAGAACCTTGCTCCCATCAGAACGAAGATTAAAAAAATCCTTGAACCAATTCCTCTGGCCTTCAATACATGTCCCTGTAGATCTCTTGCAGTAATGGGTGAAGAGACGCATCGGTTTCAGTCTTTTTGATGGTCTGGACAAGGAGGGCGTGTTCCGTTACAAGCTGCCTCAGGTCGGCCATTTTCTGTAAGAGTTTGGGAAAGAGGAAGCCGTCATCCGGGTGGTTGGACTGGAGGTGAAGCTTCAAGACGTGGACAATGTTTTCTTGCATTCTCTCGATGCTAGGAACATTGAGCAGTCCAGGACGGTCTGTTAGAAGACAACAGAGCAAACTGATCATTTGAGCAGTGAAAACCTAATTCTAGTTATTTACACTCCCTTCCTGTCCAGGCCATTTGTCAGTATTCAGCGCTGCGGTACTTTGACTGACATTTATTCCGTCATGCAACGTTGTACTGAAATGAATTTTATACCATTTTGTGGGGAAACATAGAGCTTTATTTTGGTGGTATTTAATCACCACTGGGGTTTTTAAAATTATTTTCTATTTTTAACTATATAACGAAAAAAGTACAGAAAAAATGGTTTCCCTTTATTATGTTATGAAACATTTATTACCCAAATTTTTGGTAAAATATAAACGACGGCGTCATGTCGGGTATATAGACACCAAACATGCAAAGCTTCAAAATGTTGCATGCCTCTGAAATAGCAAAAAACTACCATACCCAAAATTAACCATAGGTGACGCTTTAAAAGCTTTTACCACTCATCAGTTTCGTGTTAACAGTAATTAATGGCTCAATAATTATTGCTCATGCTCCGACGATCGCAGTGATATGTAACATTTACGGTGCAATGAGCGTAATCGTAATTTCCACACTTAAGCGCACCTGATGAATGTTTGTGTATGTATGTGGGGGCAGGGGACTTTACAATTTTTTTTGTGTTTTTTATATGTGACTTTCATTTTTTTGTTTTCACTTAACTTTATTGCTATCACACAGAGGGCTAGGTCGCCCCCTATGTGATAGCAATTTACAGTGACAGGTCCTCTTTATGGAGACTCCAGGGGTTTCTAAGATCCCTAATGTCACCTAGGGACCCCCAAAGAAGCTGATGAAGAAGAGATTTACTTCACCAGCTTCTTTCTCCGGCTTCTGTAGCCGGGAATGGCAGCTGAATGCGGAAGTGATGTAATATACCTCACTTCCTACATTCAGAGACCAGCGGGGAGATCGTGTACTGATCTCCCTCTGATCTCCAGTGAGAGAGCCGCTGTGCCGGTCCCGGCCCCCACCGGGCACAGCAGAGCTCGGGATCGGCGGTGGCGGGGCACACACCCATATGCATAATACAAGCGATTTGCGGCTCCACAGCCGCTGAAACGCTTGTAACTAAACAGGCATCGCTGGCTAATTACAATTCAAGCAGATTTCCCGCTCATGTGCGCTGAACGCCCACAGTCCAGGACGTAAAGTGGTTAAAATGTACTTAGTGTAAGTACCTGAGTTTGTACCAGCTGCTTGAAAATCCTGTACAGCAGTCTAGGAGAGGGAGGGTTATGACTGAGAGCCAATCAGGTGTGCTGCATGCAAATGTGTTGACCATCAACATACTGATTGGAGGAGAGAGCAGAAAGATGACCTCATCAGTTTGCTGCTGCTCTTTTTTACTGTCCCAGCAGGGGCTGGAAGGAGGACACCACTGTATTCCTTAAAGCTCCTGCATAAGCAGATTTTGTCTAAATACAAAATCCATGTGTATTCTTACTTAAATCTTAGTGAGCTTTGTGTATTTCCAGATTGGTGAAGTAATCCAGAATAAAACTTTGCCTCTGTACAGGAGTTTGCTGTGATAAAGACCAGTCACTGCTGTGTTTTCTCCTTGTTCAGGATGACTGGTCTTGTTTCCGCCCCTCCTCCTGTTGTCTTCTGCAGGCAGCCTACAGTGAATGGACCTGATTGACATCTTCCCCCCAGCACTACTGTCTGCACAGGCTATGTACAGCACAATGATTTTGTCACTGCTAAGTTTACAAGGTAATATCTGGGTATGCGAAGGCATTGGGTGCACATACAGTGGGTTTATATCCTTTGCAGCAATAGAGGAATACATTTAAATGAATGTCGCATCCAGAGTTTAGCTTTAATTTTAGGTGTTGCCTGGCTGTGCTGTGTGATGGGGCTCTGTACACCTCAGAACTGCATAGACAAACCCTTTTAGTATGTAGTACAGTTCCCTTATATTTATTTTATCTGTGTTTTATTGTCAATAATAAAACTATGACTACGTGCATTCACATGAAGAAGTGAGAAGTCATTGCTGTTGTGATAGTGGCAGTTGGACACTTAGGATTTTTTTTATAGCTTTACATATGAAGAAAGTCTTACCTCCACAACAAATAAGAGCAGCAACAAACAATGCAATATCGCTGTCATCCAGTTCCAGGGCATTGAACTTCATGGCAAACTCAAACTTCGGTTCCATCATGTCACCAATTGGCTTCCTCAAACTCTTCAAGAACTCCCGGGTAATAAAACCATTTCCATAAGCCACCAACATCCCGTCTTTGTTCATCACTGAAGCCAGCATGGCAAACATGGCTTCGTAGACTCCGTATTTTAACAGAGTCACCTGATCGTTTAGGTCCAGCTCAGTAAAACCCGGTATGGATTTGGCAAACTCTGTAAGTTCTGTGACCGTTTCTACCGAAGTGCACTGACAGCAGTGGAAGATGCGTACCTCGGCTTCTTTGTTCTGAATACCGTTGGCCACTAATTTGGCTACCAGTGTTTTCTCCGCCATACACAACGTCTCCATGTCATGTATCACAAATGGCTGCAAGGAAGACACAAATGTAGGTAGAATATGAGAATAAAGTGTACGTAACTGTAACCACTTCTGATATTTGCTTCTTTTTGGCTTGTTAATTATTTCATATGAAAGTGTTTTGTTATATCTGCTCGATAAGTACAACAAAATACCTGCTGATTATGTCAGCTGATAACTTCCTGTTCAGTCTGCCTGTGCTGAACTGCTATAGAGAAGAGGAGGGGGGGGTTCTGTAATTCTTTCCTAGGGTGGTAACTAATGATGCTCATGGGCTTAGTGTGAGCCCAGTTTGCCCACATCTGCGAAAAACTGTCACTGAAACTCCCCCCTCCAAGCCCAGTTAATTACGGCCGGGGCATTCCCTGGCCCACAGCTACACATTACAAAGGGCTTGGGAATGCCCCTGCTATAACTGATTGGTCCAGGAGGTGGTGTGTCAGTGACAGTTTTGCGCAGGCTTGGGTGAACTTGGTTTGCACCAAGCCCCTGCTCATCACTAGTGATGACGCTAGTCGTGTCCTAGGGTGAAAACTCTGCTCCTTCATAGATACAGCACAGTGAGTCAGCATTGTCACTGTAGGACAGGAAATGTGTTACTGGCAGGATGACCAAGAGGAAAATTCTTAGCTCCTTACTCCTGACGCTAGGCAAAAAACTGGAGACTTCTCAGTAGGTGGGGGGTTTGGCCACCGGCAGGGGCCGCCCCTAGGCTGTAATTGGTCTTTAGTTTTTTTGTGCCTAGCGTCCTTCTCCTGCAGGTGGCGATATTACCCTACAGTACATGATCTCCGATCTGTTCCCTGTGTCCTTCAATGAACGGGAGAGAAAAATAAAGGGAAGATGCATGAAAAAACGAATGCATGATCCACTATATCTAAGCTGCAGTATATTACATTTCTGCTTAGGTATGCTTTTAAAACAAGTAACAATGGCAGCCTGTTAACAATGGCAGTCTGTCACATGTGTCTTTTATTATGCCGAAAAGCAATCAGCAAAGCACAGTAACCCACAGGAGCCAATCACAACTCACCTTTTTTATACACCTGACTTCAATACAGTGCAGCCTGATTGGTTGCTAAGGGTCAGTGCCCTCTGCACACCACTCCACTGATCTCTGTACAGCCTGACAGGATAATCCCGATCATGTTTGCACTGAAACATTTGCCCCAGAGGCTGTTGATCACAAAGTAGCATAGAGGTCAGCCTGAAACATTGTGAGTGACCCTGCTGCAGGTACATTGCAAGATGAACAAGTTTACTAACGAACTCTGAGCTTCTGAACTTTGTACATTTACTCTATATCTATTAACCAGACGCTGCCCTGCATAAAAAGCAGCCTGATCCAGGAATACAAAACAACTTTTTACTTATGAATTCAACTTCTAGTGAGAATCATTGTAACACTAGCAGTGGATAGGAAGGGCAAAGGTAGCTTGGCAAAGGCAACAATTTAAGGTTTTGTGGCTCTTTGGTCACTTCTTTTCTCCCTATGAACACCATTCATAAGAGGTCAACAGGAACCAATGAGAGCTGGAGGGGACCACAGAGATTGACACTTCTGAAGTGTTGATTTTCCTTCAGGGGACCATTTCTTAGTGGCAGAAGCAGAGAGAAAGGTGTATTACAAGGGGAAGTCTAGGATTCTTTGGTCTGGGGGTTAACTACAACCAAGTGGTCCTTTCATGGTGAGGACAGGGCTAAAAAAAAGTGTGCTACGGTACATCGATTGGTGGCCATGGTGAAAGATAGATGTTCCTAAAGAACATGCTTTAGTGTGACACACCTTTTCACATCCTCAGCATCAGATTCTCAGCATTCAGACACAGGGCATCTCAGATCCACAAAGAAAGACGGTACTAAAAGAACTTCCTCAGGCGGATGGTGTGAGTACATGTCTGAATAAAGAGCAGATAGCTACAGTGTTTCCCCGAAAATAAGACACTGTCTTATATTTTTTTTGCCCCACAAAAACACACTAGGTCTTATTTTCAGGGGATGTCTTTTTTTTTTATGTGCAACAAAATGTACAACAATCTAAAGTTATTCATGTACAACAATCCAAAGCTATCTGGTATCACTCCGCCTGTCACAGTACCGGACAGCGGTACCAGCAGTGCGGACATCAGACAGTGGACAGCGCGGTAAAGTACGGTACCATTTACCTTTACATTAAGCAGTGCCTTCGGGGGACAGCAGTTGCTGAAGTATGGTACTGGAGTGCTCCCTGTCACTGCGCCGGCTGGAGGGAGTCCCCTGTCATCCCCTGATACAGTATGTCCCTGCAGGCTGATACCATCTCTCCTGGTCTTCAAGTTCCCCCTCACATGCTACCACCAAACTAGGTCTTATTTTGGGGGTAGGTCTCATATTACAGGAATCTTGAGAAATAGTGCTAGGTCTTACTTTCGGGGTAGGTCTTATTTTTGGGGAAACAGGGTGAAATAATGTCCACCATGGGTCACTGACTGTTGATGCTGCTCTGATTAATGCCTAAATTAAGACTTTTTCCACTCAGGGCCACCAGCCCAACATATTTTATTTGCACTGTCCTATGAGAGAAATGTCCCTCAGCACAGTCCTCCCTTGCTGGAGATTGTTTTTAAATGTGACAGGGTTGCTTTAACTAGTTGTAAAAAAACGGACGGACGGCACTGCTGCATTGGCGGGTCATTTTGTTTCTGCTCGCGGGCGCGCACGGGCAGAAAAGACCCGTGCAATGCAAACACCCGTTACCGGGTGTTTCACATATAGACGATCGTCGGCTCTATAGCCCGCCGATCGTCTATATGTGCTCGTTTTTTCGGGGTCCACAGGTGACATTAATTTCCTTAATATAGTAAAAAATAAAAACCCCAGTGGTGAATAAATACCATCTAAAGAAAGCTCTATCTGTCCCCAAAAAATGGTATAAAATAAATTTCAGTACAGCGTTGCATGACGTAATAAATGTCAGTCAAAGTACCGCAGCGCTGAATACTGAAAAATGGCCTGGTTGGGAAGGGGGTTTAACAGCGCGGATGTCAACTGGTTAAATTATGTCCCATTATGTTCTCTCTTGATACAGTCCTGAAACGTTAAATTTTTTTATCTGCATAAGTAACTGATCGTTCTTTTATGTTAGCCCAGTGGTGTTTTCTTTGTAAGAGCAAGTGTTCTATCTAATGAAACTTTCTGTATTTGTTGGAAAGAAGTGGCAAGTTTTTATCAGGAAGACAAGCAGAAAAGAACACACCTGCACTAGCACAGTCTGCACACAAGTTCAAGGAAGGTCAGACTGGCCTTGAGGGCTGCAACATTTATCACGGAGGACCTTTTCGGGTCTCTGGAGGGGGAACAGCCATAAAAAAATAAGAAAAAAGACTTACTGGGTTGCTGCCTTTCCCCGTGAGAATGGCCCGAGCTTTTAATTTGTTCATATTGAAGTTTTTCTGATAGGCATCATAGAGGAGTTTGGCCAGGGACAGAAGGTCGGCTATGTGAGAGTCCTTGATATCCTGCTCGCTGGTCAGAATTTCCGCCGTCAGCTTTGCTTTTTCTGAACGAGGCATTCTCCCAAACCGAATCGCTGAAAAGACACAAGGGACCTTGTAATTAGCAGAAAAACAAAGAGGCCATCGCTTGTCAAAGTGCCTGAAACAAGTAGGGTCTGTGTTGCCCCGCAAAAGCAACTAGATCCAGACATGAATTCTCTATCTGTCTAGTGCAGGTTCAAAGCAGATTCTGCTATGTACCAAAATCTAGTTTTTCAGTATATTTGGCATCAACCCTCACTGTACACAGTTTCCCTAAACACATAATTTTATGTAAATCTATTGCAACGTTTATTACCTGGAAATCCTGCCAGTACGAGCACTTCCTGTTGCAGATTGGCAACGCTAAGCCACTTCCTTTCAATGAGCAGCAGCATTCTCAGCCTGCTGTTTGCACATCTTTATTTGGCCTCTGGCCTGCCTATCTGATAGAACCAATAGGCAGCCCACCAGCCAACTCAAGAAGCAAACATGGGAGGATGGTAATGCTGGTGCTAATTGAGAGGCACTGGCTTTGTGTTGCCAGCCTGCAACAGGAAGTGCTGTTACTGGTAGGATCTCCAGGTATGAAACCTTGCAATAGATTTACAAACCATGATCTGTAAGCAGCGAGACATGATGCCAAACGTGCTAAAAAATAGATTTCTGGTATTACTATGGCAAATCCATCAGGGAATTGGGAGTTCTCTGGAATTCAGCTGATACTGGTGATATAACTGGTCACAAGAATAAACTGGCATTTCATCTCCTTCATTTAGCCCATATGTATGTAGCAGTGAGATGATGTTCAGCGCCCAATGCGACCTCAGAAAAGGGTGGAGCTCAGGAGACCTAGAGGGATTGACAGCTCTGCACTTACCCTTGGCTGCCGTAACTGGTCTCAAACATGACTGTAGGGGTGCGGAATTCCTAACACCCGACACCTGGGACATGCAGTTCCAAGCGCTGGGCATGTGTTTTTTTTCTACACTTAGCCCTGCTTTGGTCAAGCAGCTTGGCTAAAGGTAGAGCAGGGGGGCCGTTTTGTCAAGTGATCTGGGCGGCTGTACTGCCCCCCAGAACACTTGTAAGCGGCCTGTTTATCCCCCCTCCCCTCCACCATGGTTTTCTGGCAAATACATCAGGATGGAGAATGGGGAGCAGACCGGAGAACATCTGTACTCCAATCTGCTCTGTGTGATCAGTGAGACAGGAGTACTGTACTCACACATGGGCTTGTTAAATAAATAATATAATAACAAAGTTTAAAAAAAGAACAAGAAAGCAAAAATGAAATAAAAGTTTAAAAAAAAGTTAAAAAATAATTAAAACCAACCTCGCCATCTGCATGTAAATAAACGGGATGTGCGCGCGCTGAATGCTGCCCCCATTCTGTGACACATTGTGGTAGCTGGGCAGCAGCACTCTCTAACACGCACAATGTGCTGACCAATGAGAAGCGCTTCTTAAAAGACTGATGGGTTGGAATACACTGTCCTTTCTAAAGTATGTTCATACAGAATGACCTGACACTTTCATAACATGTAATAAAAAAAAACAGGTATTGTAACTTACCATTATGGGACATTCCCACACTAAGGCACTTTTCGAACCGGCAATATTGGCACTTGTTCCGATTTTTCTTCTGGATTTTACAGGCCCGCTCACAACGGTCATATACTAGTTTCAGGCGTATTGTTCTTCGGAAAAAGCCCTAAAAGAAGAATATGTCAGACTTTGCAGAAACATGAAATAAAACAAAATAAATCTTGCATTCTACCAGTCAACTGCCAAGGGAATGGTCCACTGAAAACGTTAATGCCTGGAAGCTGGTGGACTGAACAAACCACCAACTTCTTATAACTCGTGGGTTCTCCAAATAAATAACAAATACATAAGGTGCTCAGATATAACCCCTAGAGCCCTCCATACATACAGAGTTGGAGGTCAGTTTTTAGTGGACTATCCCTTTAAGGGCTAGTTCACACCATCGCTTTCTGGCCGCCACACTTTGTTTTGGGGCAGGAGGGGGCGTGGCGCTATATTGAAGTAATGCCCAAGTAATGCACCAATTGGGCCAGAACGCACTGGGGCTAGTGTGAACTAGCCCTAAGACAAAATCATCACAGACCATCAAATGTTTACATTTAGGAGAATTTCCCTTGAGCAGTGTGTGGCCCTGCCGACACCCCTCCGTTCGAAACCATCGATTTTTTAATTGACTTTTGTCGAAGGAGCTGTGCCGAAAATTGTTAGACACATTGTGACTGTAGCCAATCAACTGCAGTGATCTGTGATGTCATTCACATAATTGCCCTCCCACAGGCTGTTTGCAGATATAAGAAAGGAAGTCACCCAACACAAAACAATAACGAACACAGGAGTTCTGTCAGCTGCACAATAGAAGAACAGTGTTCAGAGATAACTTGGAAAACAATATGCTAGCACAGGGCTCAAAATTTCCACTCGCCACAGCGCTCCCTCGTCCGTCCGTCCGTCCCGGGGGGGGGGGGCGGGGGGAAAAAAAAAGCCTCTGTACTGAGTGCTTCCCATTCACTGAGTGCTGAGGCTGCTGAAAAAGAAATTGAGGATTTGGTGTCCTCAATTTCTTTTCTATTTTAAAAGGGAAATGTCAGGGGTCTGTTTGGACCCCTAATATTTCCACAAAGCCCCCCCAACAGTAAAAAATAAATAAATCATAAAATAAAAATAAAAAATGTAAAAAATTATTTTAAAAAAGTGAAAACTGCTCCCCCCCACACGCATATTATTAGACATGTGCGAAGAATAAAAATTAATTTCAGATGAAATGTGTATGTGTAATGCTCTGTGCATTGTGCTGTGGCTGTATGTGTAATGCCCTGTGCGTTGTGCTGTGGCTGTATGTGTATGGTGCTGTGTGCGCGTTGTGCCCTGTGTGTGTTTGTTTGTGTTATGCAGGGCAACTGGTGGCGAATAACTTTGAAGGCCTGGCTAGTAGCTCAGGACCTGACATTTTGAGCCCTGTGCTAGTATACCATTCATTAGTCACTTCATAGTTCATCAATAGACCTGATGGCCTGCTCACACAGAGGTAGAGTCTACCCGCCTGCATATGAAATGCAGTTGTACATACATATGAAACAGTAAACAAGTTAAAGATACCCTCCCCGGGTCTCTACATGTTTTACTCTAGAAAGTCGCTGCAATACAAGCAGCATATATGTGTGTGTAAATGACACTGCTGCAGGCAAACATATACAGTGACCAGCCATAGATACACAGGCTCTATGGAATCTCAATCCCCTCCAGGTATTCAAATACATGAGCCACACACTCTGCTGTGTTTTATGCTGAACTGCAACAAGCTTTATTGGTACCAGATAGGTCAGACAGACATTCTCTCCCTCATCAGGCATGGGCTTAATCATAGGAGTTGGTGTAAGTAAGCCAATTGGGTGAAATGTCTTGTTCGACGCAGGAAAAGAATGTGTGCGTGATCTATCTGGTATCAATAAAGCTTGTTGCAGTTCAGCAAAGAAACAGAGTAGAGTGCGGTTTATGTGCTTGAATGCCTAGAAGTAGAGTAAACTCACCTCTCCGGTAGCCCATTTCTCCTACCTCTCCTCTGTTCCCCTGCTCTAGCCTTGGAAAGCTTCTTTGGAATTCAATGCTTCTGGAACTGTTGGATCCTTGTGTCCCCCACTGTGTGTTTGGTTCCTTTCTTCCACCCATAAGTCACATAGGGGTTATAGGAAGGAACCATTGTATGACGTGGAACAAAGGCATCTAACACTCCCGGAAAGTGTAAATTGCCAAAGAGTCTTATGGAGGATGCAGTGGTAGAACGGATGAGAGGAAGGAGAATGAGCGAGGATACACTATCTAGAATAGTAGGGATCTTCTGAATTAAAAGATGTTGAGACCTGACAGGGTCTCTTTAATCTTTGACTGTCATTACAAAAAGCATGTTCCTGAAGGAAGCTGCAATATTATCTGTAAATGCATACTCCAAGAAAACACGCTTCGGTTTTCCTTTGATGAGAAGGTATTTCTGTACTGTCACTGCAATGTAAAAGGGTACCTATGGTCAAAAACTAAAAGTAAATCTGTATTTCTATACTGAATTTCCATAAGTTCTATCCCACTACTAATAACCATATCCATGCAGATGTTTGTAAACTTACTGAAGATGACATATGATGTACTTCCTCAATGCACATGAACAGCGTGTTGTGGCTTTAGAAATGCATGGAATGCTTGCCTTGTTACACAATATACTGTACCCAGCAACCTCATCTGCTGGTGAATATTTACAGTGCCCAGTTAAATATTATATTACATATACAGCACGGCAGGCGCTTCAAATAAAACAATGACAGATGCTGATTGTTAAATGCGAAGGAGCACGATGTGCGACATGTCCCGGGTTACTTTGTAAAGCAAAGAGTTCTGTGTACGCTGACAAAACAACCATCAGTCGCACAGCTCCTGCACTTTGTACCATCATACGATCATTCATTGCTTTATTGCCCTTAAAATCTGACAAAGTCAAATTAAGGTCAATGATATAGTCTTGTAGCATGGATAAAAAGGCATATGTCTACCAAGGTAAACCTTATCAAAAATACAAAATACTTATCTTATAGATCTTATAAACTTCAGAAACCGCAAGTGATCAAGAAGAAGGTACAAACATCTAATAACGTAATAATCCAATGTGCCATAAAGACCAGTAGGTTTAAACATTTTTCTATAAGCATTGGGGCCTGTTATTTCCCCACAGCCTTTTAAAAACATCACTGTGGAAAGAACCAGCGGGTACCCATTCCGCCCGCTATCTGCTGTATATTGAGCTGTCGTTAGATGGCTCAGTAAAAAGAGACCGTGCACCAGGCTGATCTGAGCAGCTAGTTACCATGTGATCACTGTGATGACTAGGGCTGCAACCAACTAATCCAATAATCAATAATAATCAATAACAAGAATAGTTGTCAACTATTCTCATTATCGAATAGTTGGCTGGATCCCCTAGCTCTCTCCTCCATGCTGAGAGGAAGGCACAGCAAGCAGTGGGTGGGTGCAATAGTGGCTTTTGCAATTTCAAATAACCAATAGCCGGCTGGCTATTGCACCAGGCCACTACCTGCTGTATTTACATTCAGCTGCCCTCGGTGGAATCTTGCCGCTGGCAGCTGTCATTCCCTGGCTGAAGCTCTTCAAACGCCATGTGCTTACAATACAATCATTTTTTTTAAATATATAAAAAGGTGGGGGAAAAAGTAATTTTTGGTTTGGGCCTGACAAATTCTGCTGTGAGAGGTGCGTGGCAGTGCCATTTATTTCAATGGCACCCTATACACACCTCCCACCCACAGAGTGATCGCCCGCACTGAAACACACGGTACCACAATGCCGTGTGTTCCATTGCAGTGCGATTCCAAAAAATTGTGCATGCAGTTTTATTCTGAAGTAAACTGTATGTTTGTAACACTCACATTTCATTTTAAATTAAGGATGGTATTAATTAAATTTTTCTTATCCGATTAATCGAAAAAATAATCAGCCAACTAATCGATTATGAAAATAATCATTAGTTGCAGCCCTAGTGATGACCAATCACAGCAAACACATGGTAGTATCTACATGGCTGGCATGTAGATTCCTCAGAGGAAGGAGAGGAGTCATAGTAATTTATGAATGGAAAATTAATTAATGGGTCAGCAGCAGCCGCTGATCCCTTCATTCATTTTCACTGTGATGCTTTTATTTTTTAACCCTTTCTGTAACCTCCTCTTCTACACATCTGATCCCCAGCCCGTGCATGTATTGTGATCTGTATATTAACCCCCTCATCTCCACCCTCCTACTATATGTGACCTGTTCATTAACCCCTTCACTTACTGCCCCCTCTGTGTATGACCTGTACATTTAAAGTATCTTGTGCACCCATACCAGGTTCCATGTTTTAACCCCCTAAATACCAGCATTTTTCTTCTTTTCTAGAAAATTGTGGCAAAAGATGTGATCACCTTGGGGTGTCTACTTTCCAAAAAGGGGACAATTTGGGGTTATTACTGTCCTTGTAATTTTATTTTAACAAAAACTAAGGAAACAGTTTTTTTCTTCCCAAGCTCGCTACTACGATGGACTACAATCTCACATTTAGTTTATTCATTTGTATTGAGATTGTAGTCCATCACAGGAGTGAGCTTGGAGTGGTGACTACTTTACAACACACACAGGGACCATGGGGAAGAAAAGTGGTCACCCTCCAGAAGGAAGGACAGTGTCAGCACCAATTCAGAGATGGTTTGAGGATCTACAGCCGAGTGATACACACATAAGATACATTTTTGTTAATAGTTAGGGTACTTGAATGTATTTTTAAGATTTAACTTCTGAGTGTAGTGTCACTTTAACACAAAGGTGATCCGGCTGCAATACTCATGTCCTCTCAGGTGTGGTCCTCAGCAGTAATACCTTTTTTACCACTGACTGTTCTCAGTCTTCCGGGGTGTTTGACGCCAGGTGCATCGTTTATGTATTTGAGACACACACACTTTACTTTTCCGTACCTTGCAGCCCTCGCAGGCATGCACTCCATAGTGAAATCCTGATGCTTTATCTCCACACACCCGACACTCGATGCTCAGTGACTTGTTGGGGTCTTCTGTGCCGCTCAGTGTTGCTGGGAATGTGATTGAAGACGGGCTGGATGCTGGTGAGAGGGTATCTGCAGCAACACCAAGAAGAAAGATATTGTGCTCACCCAGTGATCAGATAACATGGGGGGGGTGGGGGTATATAACTGAATTTATTACATTGTCTCTGATAATCTTTTATTATAACGTTGCAGTTTTCTTTCAGAAGATCTCTGGTCTACACAAAGAACATTTCTATGGATTCCACAGCAGAGCTTATCTCTAAAAATAAGCTGTTTGAAGCTGAAGTTTAATCTGCTTATGTTTTGCCTTCCATTGTTCTACCTTTCCATCCTCATCAACATGCTAATGAAAGAAAGCTGAACTCCGGCCTTCTCTTCAGTCTTGCAGAGTTGTACCGGCTTCCCTCCTGGACTGAAACTGCTTACTCTGATTTCACTGAACACTGTGAGCTTCTCCTAATGTGCATTAGAAACTGGAGAAAGTCAGATAGAGCCCACCTCATTTCCTGGCTGAAGGACGTTCAGCATCATCTAGCACTTTCCTCCCCTGCTTTAGTGTCCTGGCCCACCCATTTCATTTCTTGGATTTCTGTTATTTCAATCATGGAGGCTCAGCAACACATGTGGGCATTATCTAGGGTGGTCTGCATGCAATGGACTTATTTAATTTGCTGGCCCTGTTTTCCCTCAGATATGCCTGGAAGTGTAATGTTAGTTTGGGGTCTGTCAGTGATGTGTTTGAGGTCCTCTAGTAACTGCAATGCAAGGACAGTATTGGCTAGAAACAATTTGTTGAACAGCACCCCTGTCGTCATGACTACAGGCGATGCCCAACATTGATTTGCTGGAGGAGCAGCCTTAAATCTGAACTCCAGGATAAGCAAATATTGTCTAAATACAAAAGCCATGTGTATTCTTACTTGAATCTTGGTGAGCTTTGTTTGTGTATTCCTTCTAAATCTGTGCAGTAATCTAGTGTGAAACTTGGAGCTTCCTGTAATAAAGACCGGTCACTGCTGCTCTTTCTTTGTGCAGGGTGACTGGTCTAATCTCCGCCCCCTCCTGTAGTTTAGCTGTAGTGTAGCTGATATCGGAGTTTGCAAAGGCATTTTGTGCACCTAAAGGGGATTTTGTGACTATTGATGACATCTTTTTTTGCCAGGAGTTCAACTTTAAGCCTATCAGGGATCTCTTACTGACAGGCTCTGATGAGGACGGTATGACCCCAGAAACGTGTTGGCCATCAGCCCACATTGCTTCTCATTCTCAGTGTGTAGCATGGTAATAGGGCAATTACATTTTAGCAGTTTGGATGACTTGTGTCTGGAGCAGTGTGGTCACGTTACAAACATTTTAGTCTTCTGCTTTTGTGAGTAGTATTTTATCATTTTATATCGGTATTAAAGAGGAGATCACTAGAGGAGGATAGGCGCTCTTTACGTCTATTTGTGATGGGTATGAGCTGGTGCACCTCAGTGGAGTGTGGACAATTGTGGCTGTGCTTGTGAAGTTGCCAGGGCCAGAAATATTTTGGTTTTACATCAAGTGTAGGGAATTGCTAAAGAAGAACTCTGGACATTTTAAAAATGAACCCTTGCAGTGGGGCTAGCACCGCACTGAAAGGGTTAAGTGTTCGTTTCGGTCTAGGGTCTAAAATAAAACATATATACTCACCCGATCCTCAGTCCCACCTGGCTGCTAAACCAATCCCTGCAGCCTCTTCTGCCCTGGACTTTGGTGGTCTAAGGACCCTGGAGGTCATCACATGTAATACAAGTCCATTGACTTGAATGAGCCATGAGGACGCCGAGAGACATTCCACCGTCAGAGCCCAGGGGAGAGAGGTAAGCACTGACTTCAGCAGGACCAAGGATCGGGTGAGTATATCTTCTTTATTCCGGCCCCTGGGCCAAAACAATCAGTTTACCCTTGCAGTGTGGGACTAGCTCCACTGCAAGGGTTAACTTTTTTTTAATTGCCCAGAAATCTTTACCTGCCATGTGTGTTTTATTGGGAAGATTTATTTCACTCCCTGTCCTGAGGACACGACAAGACGTAAGGAAACATCTCTAAAATGCCAGAACTCCCCTCTCAGCCTCCGTATTCGTAGTCGCATAGTAAGAATTCACCCCTATTCCACATCTAGAGACAAATTACACATTTTGTATGTTCCTTCTTTTTCAGTCTTGGTGATTTATGAGGTTTATTGGATAAATGCAAGAATCAGACAAACTGAAAAGTTCAGTGCTGAGAAAGCGTTCAACAATATCTGTTTCCTGGGTTTGGAGGGCAACGCATGGTGGGCCGCAGTCAGACTATTCTTAGTTTACTAGTTCAGAGCCATTGCAGAGATCTCATGAATGGCTTTGCTGTAATTTATTCAATAGTTCATTCTACAGGTCACCTTCCCCCACCAATAACAGATGGAGAATTATTCCCACAAATTCCTACGGCCTACTCCCTGTTCTTCCAGGGAAGTTTCCAGTTATTCACCTGATGCTGCCCTAAACTCTGGCCTCTCAGGAGATGACACAATGCTCACTAGGTTGCCATTTATTGAAAAAAAGTCAGCTTTAATGAGCAAAAAAATGATGCAAGCAATAGGTCGTAAAAATTATAAGAACAACGCCACACAAAAGAAAAGCGGATCACTGTTCAATTCATGACTGGGTCTTTTCCAACCCAAGAGCCCAGCAGGGAAATCCCTATGTGCATGGGTGAGGTACTGCCAGGCAGAGTTCTCCATCTATGAAGTATCCACTACATGATCCATTAATGTGTCTTGCACCACTTAGCAGATTATCCCAAGGAACATATAGAAAATTCATTGATTGCGGATAGCTGAACCTGTCGCTGTTGTGTTAGAGGTTAGGGGTGGTCCTACCATTCGGTTCCTAGCGGTAAAGATCTAATTGAGCCTTCATCCTACTAGGGCATCTCAGTGGCATCATTATCATGGACAATTTGCTAAAATTCCATAAAAAGCTGCTTCTGTTTGTTACATATAATCTTACTCAATGTTTACTTGAAATGAATTCATATGAAGACCTGATCCCACTCATTTGGTACTATAATGTCACACTAAAAGTGCTGGAGAAACATGCTCGCTCGTTTTCCCCTACCAATGCCTAACAACTGACAAGAAAGGTACCTAACCCATGTCACTCACCATCCTCCCTTCTTTTTGTTCTTTTGTCTACTTTATTTTTATCTTTTCTATTTTCCCTTTTCCTTCCAGTCTTCATTTTTGTTTTAACATTTATTAAACACAAGGGGAGCAGAATGATATATTTTGCATTTCATATGGGCAGCACAGTGCCTTAGTGGTTAGCATTTCTGCTTTGAAGCACTGGGGGTCCCCTGTTCGAATCCCAGGCACACACAATCTCCATGGAGTTTGCATATCCTTCCTGTCCTTGTGTGGGTTTCCTCTGGGAGCTTTTTTGTTTTAACATTTATTAACCACAAGAGGAGCAGAATTATATATTTTCCTCCCACACTACAAAGACATGCTGGTAGGTTAATTGACTCCTTTCTAAAAATTGGCCCTAGTGTTGCATGTATCCATATGAAATAGGGTCCTTAGATTGTAAGCCCTTCGAGGACAGGGATTGATGTGAATGTACAGTTTGTAAAGTGCTGCATAAAATACATACAATTTCTTATGGGTGGTATTTCCCATTTTGTGTTTACCCCTTCCTTTCTTTCCTATTAACACTGTGACTTTGACTTGTCTGAACCTCTTGTCACCTTTAAAGTGGACCCACACTCAAATGTTCACATAAAGCTATGTTAAGAATCTTGCTAAAATATGTACCCTTACTTAAGATAACGCTGCTTTCGGCTCCCTTCAGTCATCTGTTCCGAACCTTAATCCTTTCAACATCTGATATCACTAATCGCCTAGGCCTATAGACATGTAGCAAGGAAAGGAACTTGGAGCTGCATTGTAATCAGCACCTAGCAGCAGCCAGGCTTGCCTCCAGAATTCACTCTGATAAGAAGCTATTTTGTCCATTATACAGTGGTGGACAAAATCACAATGGGACCCCCTTTGGTACTTTTTAACCCCCCCATTCAACTAATTCCTGATAACGTCACTGTAAATAGATAGATGATAGACAGACAGACGACTAGCTTTTATTATTCCATGAACTTTTGTTTCATAATATGGGGTCAGACAGTGAACACCTCCTTCTCTTCCAGTTTAAGTGGTGCCAAAAAGCAATGGAAGAAGCATTCCAGGCAGGGGGTAAAGATGCTGCTCACTGTGGACACAGCTTGAATAGCTCATCCAAGTACATGGTAACGGTGTCAAGAAAAGTGTTTTCCACTTTTCACATGCCTTAGAGTCTATGTGACATCAGGAGGGGTCCAAGAACCTGACCAACCTCCAACTAGCAGAAATTGGCCCCTCAGTCACCAAGGGCCCATTGTGCAGTCTAAAGGCCGTGACACACTGCACGCGAAGCAGCACGGAGTGGGGGCGCGCTGCCTTTGCGAGCAGTGTGTCATGTAATTTTCTGCTCGGCACCTCAGCTTGCGAGAGCTCGCGGAGCTGAGCGTGCCGAGATCAACAATTTCAACTTCAGCCATGCGACAGCTGGCAGGTTGTTACGGACGAGCCGATTGGCTGAAGGTGCTGTCAATCATCTGACTGCACTCAGCTCACACACTGCACGCAAAGCTCCGTGCCGGATAGCTTTGCTTCGCTCTGCACGGCTTCGCGTGCAGTGTGTTGCGGCCTTCAGGCAGTGGTTCTCAACCTGCGTAACCTCAGGACCCACATTTGTCCTTGGTCATTAAGTTGCGACCCAAGTCGCACTGCAATGGAACGTAGGCATTGTGTTACCGTGAGTTCTGGTGCAGGGGATTGAACTGTGGGTGGGTGGTGTGCTTGGAGTGTCATTCAAATGAATGGCAATGCAACGCACCTACCACACCAGAAGGCGTAGTAGGTGCAATTGCATTGTACAGTGCATTAATCGCATTAGACTGTTTGATTAACTCTCTGTACTGGTGTGAACAGGCCTTCAAAAACAGAGACACACAAACACAGACACAATCTCACACACAACCACAATCTCACAGATACCCATATACACTCCAAGATTTTTAAGATCCACCCAGTCTCGCTACCTTACGAGAACAAGAGTGGATGCTCAATCTGGGGTCCAGTGTGGGCTGCTGTGCTGTGACAGAGCTCCATCCATATGTGCATTGCTTGTACAACTCCCTTGCGTGCCCTGTAGAGTTGCCAGGAGCAAGACGTGACGTCACTCCGGTCCAAGCACCACCACAGGACATGTAAGGAAGCTGTAAGCAATGCACGTTTGGATGGAGCTGCCTCGCAGCCGAAGCTCCTGCCCACTCCACCTCAAGCTGAACAGCATAGGAATGACTGCTTGGCGCAAGAATGGACAGTGCTGAGCTAGGGGGACGCTGAAAAGCCTCTCACCTAGAAAAGTGGAAGGCACATGGCGACCCACTGAACATGGGGTCGTGACACATTTTTGGGTCACGACCCACCAGTTGAGAACCAAGGGGCTAAGGTATATTTGCCTGCCACTGTATCCAAGTCTCTTACACTGTGATGGATCATGGAAACCCAGATGATGTAGATGCACTCGTTGCCAGACATGCCTCACACTCACCTGTCTGATCTGTGCTAACAGACCCATTGGAACCGGGGCTGTTTCCCAGATACTGGTACTCTGCCACACTGAATGAGGTGGAACAGTCATCCCCGATATTCTGAGAGATATCCTGGATGTCCCCTAAGTCTGTGAAGAACTCCTTAGGTAGCGGGCTCCCGAGATCATCCTCCAAGGGAGCAATGGAGCAAAACTCCACATCTGGGTCTACCTTGATGGTGGACATGGTGGATTGTGTCTGTAACCATTACACTGGGGACAAAAACAGCAGAGTTATTTTCTTCAAAAATAGTGATTCAATATATTTATACTTATTTACTAATCATCATAAAAGGGCCTACACCATCTGGCCATACGTTTGTGGGCACTTGACCGTCACACCTACCTTTATGACCAAAAGCATGTGGGCACCCCTCCACATTATGGAGTTCAGATGTTTCCAGTGAAGTATTATGTTAATCCTGTACATTTCCAGCCTTGCCATGCAAATATGGGAAAGCGCCTTTTCTGTGCCATGACTGTCCCACTGTGTATAAAGCCAGCTTCATAAAGACATGGTTTGATGAGTTTGATGTGGAGGAACTTCAGTGGATAGGACAAAGCCTTGACCTCAGTCCTACTTGGTATGAACTGGAACACCAATTGTGAACTAGGCCTTCACATTCAACATTTGATTTCACAAATGCTCTTTTGGCTGAATGGGCACAAACTCCCACAGACACCTTCCAAAATCTTGTGGAAGGATAATATAGTTACAATGGGGGGAAGGGGGTGCAACTCCATATTATTAACCATAGTTTTGGAGTGAAATGTCCAACAAGCTCATATACAGTAGGTGTGATGGTCAGGTGTTCACAAACATTTGACTACATAATATATTTCATGTGCAAGAATCCAGCATAGCAATGTTCTGATTTGTGCGATGTGTAGGTCATGCTGCATTGTCAATGCTCTTTGCAGTTGTATTTGTTTTAAAGCTTCAGCTCTGTATTCATTAATACATTACTGAGTGCTTTTATTTAAATGCAAGCAGTGCCAGTACCTGAACTTAACATGCTCCTTGCAGGCTCTGTACAGTACAGCACAAGGACTTGGTCAGCTGTGCTGCATATCTCATGTATTATCAAAGGGCATACCAAAGTAGGAGAGAGCACAGAGACAGGGATGAGCTCATTAGTCTACTTCTTCACTGTTCAGGGTTAGGAAAGGACAAGACCTGTAAGGTTTACTTCAATCAAACATCAAACTATGCATCCACCTAACTGAATGTGAAGAAAACAAAAATTGTGGATAATAAGGGTATTTTTGCAGTTGTCCCACCTAAAATATTCATTACATATCAAGAGACATCCCGTATATTTTACTGCAACAAAATGGATTAAACACAAATGTCCAGAACATGTTCCTGGAAATTATATCAGGAAACTTTCCTGGACTCAGCCCTTCCAAACGATGTACAAACTCTACCAGCCTGTACATTCCGTACAATGTTACTTGCTCTATTGTTCCAGCCATTGGGCACACTAGGCAGCGGTATGAGATATCATGTGAGATGCCTGTAACTCCATTATAGTTGTGTAAACTGGGAGGCGGGAGATAGCAGTGCTCAAGGTCAAACACACCACGCGACACCAAACTGGACTTACTACATACTGCTCTGTGTTGTCAGCCATCTTCAGTTCCCCAGAATCAGCCGGGCCATCTATCTCAGCTTCTGGATGTATGTCTCCTAAAGCTGAACCAGGCAAACAGCACAGTGGGGCAGTGGTTAGCACTTCTGTGTTGCAGCACTGGGGGGTCCCTGGTTCGAATCCCTGCCAGGTCACTATCTGTAAGAAGTTTGCATGTCCTCCCTGTGCTTGTGTGTGTTTCCTCCGGGTACTGCGGTTTCCTCCCACATTCCAAAGACATGCTGGAAGGTTCATTGGCTCCTCTCTAAATTGGCCCTCTATGTACGAGTATGCATGTGAGATAGGGACCTTAGATTGTGTAGGGACTGATGTGAATGTGCACTATGTAAAGCGCTGCGTAAATTGTCAGCGCTATAAAAATACCTGTCATAATCTATAATCTGGAGGCCTGGTGAGACCCTACGGAGCTCTGGTGCTGGCGGGACCCCATGGAGCTCTGGTGTGACCCTACAGAGCCTTGGTTTAACCAGGGCTCTGTGGGGTCTCATCGGGGCTCTGTAGGGTCTAACCAGCTTGGTTAGACCTCACAGAGCCCTGGTGAGATCCCAAAGAATCTCTAGAGGGTCTCACCAGGGCTCTGTGGGGTTTAAACAGCCCTGGTGAGACCCCACAGAGGCCTGGTTAAACCAGGACTCTGTGGGTCTACCAAGGCTGGTTAGAACCCATAGCGCCCTGGTGAGACCCCACAGAGCCGCGCTACCCTGATGAGGCCCCCTCAGAGCCCTGGTTTAACCAGTGCTCTGTGGGGTCTCACCAGGCTGGTGAGACCGCACATAGCCATGCTGAGATGCCACAGAGGCCTGGTGAGACCCTACGGAGCCTGCTGGCGAGACCCCATCTCGCCCTGGTGAGATCAGACACTGTGGGGTCTCACCAGGGCTCTGAGGGGGTCTAACAAGGCTGGTTAGACCCCCACAGAGCCCTAGTGAGACCCCCACATGGGCCTGCTACCCTGGTGAAATTCTACAGAGCCCTGGTTTAACCAGGGCTCTGTAGGGTCTCACCAGGGCTCTGAGGGGTCTAACCAGGCTGGCAAGACCCCACAGAGCCCTGGTGAGATCCTACGGAGCCCTGGTGCTGGTTTAACCAGGGCTCTGAGGGGGTCTTACCAGGGTGGTGAGTCCCCACATAGCAGGTGCTGTGGGTGCTCATCGGGGCTCTGTAGGGGCTAACCAGCTTGGTTAGACCTCACAGAGCCCTGGTGAGATCCCAAAGAATCTCTAGAGGGTCTCACCAGGGCTCTGTGGGGTTTAAACAGCCCTGGTGAGACCCCACAGAGGCCTGGTTAAACCAGGACTCTGTGGGTCTACCAAGGCTGGTTAGAACCCATAGCGCCCTGGTGAGACCCCACAGAGCCGCGCTACCCTGATGAGGCCCCCTCAGAGCCCTGGTTTAACCAGTGCTCTGTGGGGTCTCACCAGGCTGGTGAGACCGCACATAGCCATGCTGAGATGCCACAGAGGCCTGGTGAGACCCTACGGAGCCTGCTGGCGAGACCCCATCTCGCCCTGGTGAGATCAGACACTGTGGGGTCTCACCAGGGCTCTGAGGGGGTCTTACCAGGGTGGTGAGTCCCCACATAGCCCAGGTGAGACCCTGCGGAGCCCTGGTTTAATCAGGGCTCTGTGGGGGTCTAACCAGGGCTCTTTGGTGTCGACCCAGAGGTCTGTGGGGTCTCCCTGGGGCTCTGTGGGTCTAACAAGGCTGGTTAGACCCCACAGAGCCTTGGTGAGGCTCCAAAGATCCCCGATGTCCTGGTGAGACCCCAAAGAGCTTTACAGAGTCCTGGTGCTGGTGAGAACCTACAGAGACCTGGTGAGACCCTGCGGAGCGCTTGTTCTGGTGAGAACCTAGAGAGCCCTGGTTTAACCAGGCCTCTGTGGGGTCTCACCAGGGCTGTTTAAACCCCACAGAGCCCTGGTGAGACCCTCTAGAGATTCTTTGGGATCTCACCAGGGCTCTGTGAGGTCTAACCAAGCTGGTTAGACCCTACAGAGCACTGGCGAGACCCTACAGAGCCCTGGTTTAACTAGGGCTCTGTGGGGTCTCACCAGTCCCCACAGATCCCTGGTTAAATCAGGGCTTTGTAGGTCCTCGCCAGGGCTCTGTGGGGTTTAACCAGGACTGGTGAGACCCCACAGAACCATAGTTTAACCAGGGCTCTTTAGGGGTCTCCACCAGGGCTCTGTGGGGTCTCACCAGACTAGTTAAACCCCACAGAGTCCTGTGGAGACACCACAGGCCTGAGTGGGGCCTCATGTTTAGGTTTCGCCTAAGGCCTCGCAAACTCTAGAGCCGCCTCTGCCTCAGGGACTGCAGGAGGATGACACCAGATCAAATTTGGGTATGTTGTAGGCACCTTATATGCATGAAATGTGCTTTACACATGTCACCTATGTGTTTTACATGTGCTGAAATAAATTCCTATTTTGTTAGAAACCATGCCCGAGCTGCAGGTAGCAGGACTTTTTTCAATGCACTGCAATGCACATAAAATGTTTGGATGCCGTGAAAAATGATTCTGCTAAGCCACAAGCTATCTGCAGCAAGTGCAGATGCATCTCTGTTTCCTATAGGTAGAAACTCCAGTTCACACCTTCTAGAAAGAGAGGCAAGTTTGTCATTTCCTGGCCATAGACCTAAAATGATTGCTGTCCAGTGCAGAGGGTTTCAGCCAGTTCAGGCAGAACTCTCACGCTGCTTTCATATGGGGCTTTAGGATGCAGCTGCGGATTCTTGCAGCAGGAATCCAAGGTGTGTCCATACAGATGCAGCTGCTGTTCCTGTTCAAGTTAATGACAGGCTGACAGCGGCCACATCTGTTAGCAGCAGTCCACACGTGGTAGCACATGCCATGCTTATCTATGGCTCTGGAAGCAATCTGCCTGCATGCAGGGACAACCATCTATCCAGAACCGCAGGTAGTCATACCATGTACTATTACATGTAGATAGCCGCTGACAGATGTGGCCGCTGTCGCCCTGTCATTAATGTGAACATAGGAACATGTGTGGAAGAGGCTGAATAGTCAACATTGGGGACAGCTTTTCTCCTTTGTGAAATCTGAAGGTTCTAATGCAGCTGCTCCCACAAGGTGGAGAAACTCCCAAACAAGAGGAAGGGGTCTCAAGTGAATTCAGTCAAGAATAGATGGGGGTGCCATCACACTCTGTACAGTCCAAATCCATTATTTATTGATAAAAGGTCAATGGGATAAAAAAAAAGGCAATGCGTTTCGGGGGTCCTCCGAGCTCCCCCTTCATCATGCTTTGTCGATTGAATCCCTATCAGGAAAGTGTGGGCTCAAGTTTGAATCATAAATGACAATATTACCCGTGTGTTCACTAACAATGGAATTTCTCTGTCAGGTCAGAGCCATAAAGAGTCACTGAATACAATACACTCTCAACACGTGTAACTGAGTTGATCTACGCAGCTGTCCAGCAATGGTGCTGATTGCAATGACTCACAGCTATCCACTACAAATCTCAGTGTAGTCCAGTGTACGCACTGTCGGAAAGTGATGCCAAGTGTCGGGATAATGCGCCTCCATCATGTGTGCACAGGAATTGCATCATCAATGGCCGCCCAATGGCCGAACCAAGAAGACGCCAGATGGAGAAGAAGCATTGGAGAAGATGGCGGTGAGAAAGCCAGGAGCTGTTATCAATGGAGGAGCGCAAATCTAGAGGAAGTTATGGTAAGTGCCCCTCTGGCCTCTCCACTTCCACTTTGAACACAGAGGTTCAGCAAAACAGCCGGTCAGCTGGCATTTTCAGTCTCCAGTTGCAACCCCCATATTTCTACAAGACACCCTAACAATGTACTTCCACTATGTGGCTCCTTTTGGCCTGTTGAATATCCCATTGCAAGTGTTTGGTTCAATAATAGCAAACAAATACCTGTTGAATCTGCCACAGATCTTGTGCTCATAACTTCCTGTGCTCTCTGCACTCTGTTACATTGTCCCCAGCTCTCATTGTGGACTACAGAACATCTACCTCTATGTTATGGTGATGAGTAAAGGGGGCGTTCTGTAGCCTTCTCCTAGGGTGACAATACTACTCCTCCATAGATACGGTACAGCAAGGGTTGTCACCCTAGGGCAGGAAGTGTGTTACTGGCAGGACCACCAGGTGTAAATAAAGTTTAAAAAAAGCCTGGAAAAAGAAAACAAATGCAGCCGCCACATCTAAGTTCTGGGAAGTTGTTGTGCCGGGTTTAGATACACTTTAACTCACAACATGTACTAATAGAAAACACAATGAAGGGAATTGATCAGAACTGGAGCAGACAGAATCTGGAGCAGTTGCCCATCGTAACCAATCAGCTTCTCTCTTTCATTTTCAAAGTTTAACTGAACAAACTGAAGAGAGAAGCTGATTGGTTGCCATGTCACAGACCAGTTCAGATTCTGTCTGCTCCAGTTTTGATAAATCCCCCCAAAATCATTTGATATTATTTTTACAGACTACGATGAAATAAATGTGCTTACCCTCTTATAGTCTGCTGACCATGGGAAATCAGAAGCTTCCAGACACTCTGTCACAAGCATTCCATTTCTGGCCGGACAAAAATAATATATATATTCTTCTGTAAAGAAAAAAACAACAAAAAAATGAAGCAACGTAAGAAGAAAATCTCCTCAGTCAGTGGCACGGGGAAGGCAGCTTGTGATGGAACGGCTGTCCGGGTTCCCCTCTATCTCTCTCCGTCTCCGTGTGATTAGCAATGGATTAATCATTACAACGACACGTCAAATCATTAACCTGCTCACAGAACGCCCTGGCCAGCGCATTGTGACACGCCGCCTTATTGCTATGCATGGCGCAGTGTGATTTATGTCTGTGACGGGCCATAATGGAACTGCACTATAGAAGAAATACAAACGTTCTACAACAGTCATTCCCTAATAGTAACTAAAGAGCACCTGTTCTATCATAATAGAATACTGTGAAGGAGAACGTCAATTTAAAGGGGAACTCCAGACAGATATAAAAGAAAACGCCCAAAAATGACAGCTTTGTATTTATGAATAAACATTAAAGAAGAATTCTAGGTACATTCGTATTAACCCTCGTAGGGGGGCTGCCCCCGCACTGCAAAGTTTAAATGCTCATTCATGCTCTTAGGCTGGTCCCTGGAGAGTCTCTCCCCCTTCCACTGCAGCGGTCTAAGGTCCACGAGTCATCACATTCTATACACAGTGTATAGAGGGTGAGGGCAGCGAGGGACATTCCATTGCAGCAGAGGAGGAGGATACAGGCTGGAGGGACGTCTGTCACAGCCAGCTAGTTCAGAGGATCTCGTGAATATAACTATGTTATTTACAGCCCTAGACCAAAATGAGCAGTTAACCTTTGTATTACGGGGATAGCCCGACTGCAGGGTTAAGAAGGGTTAATTAAACATTTACCCAGCGTTCATCTTAGAATGTATATTTCAGTGCAACTAGTACAAATACATGAATGTGACGTGATAGCAGCATTTTATAGTCCCCTAAACAGCAGAATATGAAAGGGAGGGGCAGCACAAGGAGCCAGCCGGGTGTCTTAATGCAATTATGGTATCAAGGAACATGCTGACAGCAGAGAGGTGACCTCATCAGTGTGCTGCTGCTCCATCACTGTCCAACCACAGGTTAAGGTGGGGTGGGGAGGTGACCTAGCTGTGCTGCTTAGCTGCAGCAGAGAAAAGTTAGGTCTAACTGTGCTGTCCAGTAAGACAGTGTAAATCTCATAACTGGATGGACAGAAATGCAACTCCTATAAACAGGTCAAACAGCTTTCATATATGCATTTCAGCCACATAATATAATTATTATTATTATACAGGATTTATATAGCGCCAACAGTTTGCGCAGCGCTTTACAATATAAGGAAGACATTACAAACACAGAACAATTCAAGACAAGATGTTTAGGAGGGCCCTGCCTGTGAGGGCCTACAATCTAAAAGGGAGGGAGAAGTGATACATGAGGAGGTACAGTAGCTGTGTGGGGATGAATTGTTTGAGAACATGATGATACAGTGGTTAGGTTGAGGTGGGATATATATTAGAGCTGCAGCTAACGATTATTTTCAAAATCGATTAGTTAGCCGATTATTAAGTTTGATTAATCGTATAAACAATAAAATAATTTTTTTAAAATGGCTCCAGTGATGGACTACTAGTTTGTATTGAGATTGTAGTCCATCACAGGAGCCAGCTTTGGAGCGGTGGAAGTATAAAAAAAAAGTGTGGTGTGCAATATATTGAAATGGAAAGTTTAATCGGGCCTGTCTATCGGCGGCTGTCATCCCCCACACCTGCTCCTCCTTACTACATCTCCCCGCGTCCCTGTGCCGATCGTGGAAGTGGGCGGGTGGTGAGTGTGAGGCGGGAAGGAGGTGCGGCGTGTAGAGCGTGGATGCGGGCGGGCGGGTCTGGCAGCGGTGAGCGTGATTTGGGGAGGAGGTGCGGCACGCAAGGTGTGTGGAGCCGTGAACAGGCCCCACTGATCGGAAGCCGATTAATCGATTATTTAAAAAGTTGACAACTTTTTCAAAAATTCGATTATAATCGATTATGTCGATTAGTTGTTGCAGCCCTAATATATATATAATATAATGGAGTTACAGGCATCTAGATTGAATCATCAAGCAGCAGGGAAAGAGACACAAAGCACACTGGGAATCCAGGAAGTTGATGAAAGTGATGGGCAGACAGAAGGCAGCACTCACTACGTAAAAAGGATTTTTATCAAGTAAGCTTTGATTGCATTATCAAAAACAGCTCCACTATGTATTCCTATTACAATGTTGATGTTATAACCGGATAGGATATGCTGGGACTTTACAGCTCATTTCATTATTTTTTGTTACAGTGAAATGCATGGGATTCCTCCTGATATGCAAAATATTTAACCCCTTCATGACTGAGGCCTTTTTTACATGACCTGATACGGCTTTCAGGAACAGTTGGAAACCCTTACCATTCCTTGTCCACTATTTCTAAGTCCCTGTCTGGAAATAGTTCTAGTAACGGGCTGATTGCGCCATTCTTCTTCTTTCCCTGTAAACTCATTGAGCTTTTTTTAGGCTTCCTGTTTTGTAGAACAGAATTCTAACTGAATATAAAACTCCTTCTGTTCCAAGAAACTGAAGGTGCTACAACTCTATTGTACAAGAGAAATCTCATAACCTTCTATCCATCGGTGAGTACTCTATAATCATCTTACCTATATGGTTTATTTTAATTCATTTTGGAAGGGTCACATTTTAAGAGTATTTAAAGGCAAACTTGTTTTTCCCATTTTGAATGGAGTGGTGAGGGTTTTTTTTTTCCCACTGGTGTCTGTGTTCCCGCTAGGGAGAGTCACTCTCTCTGTCTCTCTGTGTCTTGGTGACCATTGTCAATGGGACTGAATGTGATGAAAAAGCTAACATTTTGAGTGGTCACCTGAAGAGGAATAGAGGGGAAATCTTAAAAAAAGGGTAATCCTTTGATGGTATGGCACCCCTGTATGTTTAGCCAAGAATATCACCCCTCCTACTTGTTTCAGAGGATTTAATAATCTCAGGACTATAGCAAATATTGGTGGACTTGCCCCCACAATGTCCAGACACTCGATCCACACATATACCTTAACTAGTACAGTTCTCTCATGCAATCTTAAAAAACAAACAAACCTGGGAGGCCGTGTTACCCAAACCCATTCTGAACATCAATAAGAGTCAAAACACCTTATTTATGCAAATTTTCATGGCGACTAAGCAAACAATAGCAAGACTTACTAGTGAGACCCTACTCTCAAAAGAGAATAAGTGGTACCATGACAAAAAGCCCTGCTGAGTGATGAACATAATAAATGATTGAAAATATGGCTACCCTGGGAAACATACTGTGACCTTTGACGCACTGTTGGTAATTCGTTAGGGTCTGCGCCTCCACTCCGAGGTCCCTGTAAATCCCTTTTTTCTCTCTCTAATCACTTTGACCAATGTCCACCCTCCAACCCACCACCATTACATACCCATCTACTTGGCTGTACACCCCACTGTTACTCACACCCCATTTTTATATCCATGCAGTTATTATGACTTGGGTGACTACACCAGACATATTACACCTGCGGGTTATTCACACTCTCCTGTCTTCTGATGGTCTAACTACGGTACATCTATTTAGTCCTAAAGCTTCAGTAGCCCTGTTCTTAGATCCTTCATCCTCATCAGTCTCAACAACCTTGACTTAGTAATTATTTCCTGGGTCTTCCCCAAATTACTGAACCACTACTGATCGGACTTTACTGACATCATGTATGATATTTCTGTGCTATTGCTGCATACCTGCAGTTTTTCCCCCCTGTACTAATATCTATACCACAGTGTTTTGTCTGTATGTCATCAAAACCAATAGAAAGTTGCAAAAAAAATAGTTTAGACTTTATTTTACTTTAAAGGACACTGTCACCCAGACCATACTGGCCAAAGTGACTGTATCTCTGCAAAGGGTCCTCCACAGCTGTACATAATAACCAGTCATGTCCATAATACTTCTGGTTATATATACTTCTGCTCCCCCAGGCCACCAACAGCAGTAATTTTAGTGCCGGATGGAGTAGGAATTTGCGATGAAGGTGCACTGGTAAGGTGAGTATAGGGGGTGTGGAAGGTGACTGCCTATTCAGGGGCCTACAAGGGTTGGGTGCAACAGTCAAGTGCCATACCTTTCAACAGATCTATATAAAGAAAACAAAAATAATAACAAGCCCAGCCAATGACCCATCTTAGCCACACCTATTTATAATATGCCCCATGCATTTTAGGCCTCCTTAATTCTTTAAACAAAACAGGAATTTAGCCTGAAGTATCTCTGTCACTCAGCTCTGCATCTTTAACAACCTCTTAGCAGATTAATTACTAAATATCACAAACTAATTGTTACAAAAGGCAACTGGTAATTCACACTAACATATCATGACATCAGTATGCTGCGCATACACTTACACAACGGCTCTATGTGTAATAGGTGCAGTGCTGTCCAGGTTTATAAACACAGTGTAGTTCATTGCACTCCATGCATAAAGATACCAATGCAGGACAAAGGCATAGTCTGGCCAACGCTGCCTTTGGGGTAATGTCACTTTCAAACATTTATAGACAGAAATTGCACTACAACACTGATAAATATTAAAGGGTAATGTATCAAGATTATTGAAGGATATTTATCAACACTGATAAATATTAAATCTAAAGGCAATTGTTTTTGCCTTTTTTGTTTTGGATCGAGTAGGGAAAGGTTAGAACTGTGGTCAAGTTCCTATTACACAATTCGTCAGGTAGCGAGGAGTGCTGGATCACTCAATGTGTATTTGAAAGTTTTAAGGTTTTTGTATTCTATTGTATTGTATATTGTAAGCCATCTGGTAGCTTTATTCGTCCTAGGATGGTTCTTAGGAAAGAAACAAATATAGGATAAGCAACAGAAGCATCGTTCCACATATGGAATGCCAGAATAATATATGATTTAAGTTTACCAAGAAAAAGCCAACACCTTTCGGGGGTTGTGAAAGTTCCCCTTCTTCATAGGTGAAGAGGATCAAAAGACTG